ACAGGTAATTGCTTGGTCTTTGGTGCCTTCACATCCATTCATTATAGAGGATGATGAGGGTGGGGAGAAAGCTGGTGGACTCTGATGTTGCCCGTGAATGCTGTGGCCTGGCTCTGAGGTGTAGGACTGGAGCAGCCATGCTAATTAACTCCAATTACCATCTGCTTCAGAAGAGGGGGTAGGCTTTAGCCTTTCTTCCCCCTTAGACCTAGCTGTGAAAATGCCCGACTGCTGCCTTTCAGCGCAAGCCTTGGGCTCTGCTCTCTGCCTGCCTCGCGTATTTTATTTTTTTAATTTTTTTTCTTTCCCCCCTTTTTGTCTCCTTTGTGTTCCTGGGTTTTTGCCCCCGTTGCCTTGTGCACCTCACCTCCTCGCAGCCAGCGCCTGCCCCGAAGGAAGAGGAGGTGGGGCTGGTGGGGCTGCAGGAAGGTGTCTGGACTTGACTGCGGGTCGAAGCCCAACCGCAGGGAGTTGCGCTGCCGCAGAGCGCTGGGCGAAACAGCTGGGCCTGGGCGAGGAAGCAGGAGCTGGCGCTGAAGCTCAGCACCCTGCAGCACCCTGCCTTGTGCTCGGCTCGCCCCAGTGCAGGGCGGCTCCAGCCTGGTGCTTTGAAGGGGGCTGCCTCCCGCGGCGGGTGGCGGAGCAGATGCCTGTGTGTTGATACCGGGATTCCTGCGGGATCAGAGGGGAGGAAAGCTGCCTGTCACAGCTACCCTTCCTTGCCATCTGAAGCTCCCTCTGTTTGCTGCTTGACTGCCATCTCTCCCAAGAAAAGAGCTCGCGTACAACCGAGCAGTCAGCTTTTCAAGCCGGCTTCTTCTCAGGCTGAAAGAGGCCGTGCAAGCGGCTTCGAAGGCATCGCTTTCCCAGCCCTGCATCTTATCCCTTACCCAGCTTGGACTTGGAATGTGTGGGGTGGGATGGTAGCACCGATAGTAACTTATTCCTTGTCCTTTGGTTGCTGTGGCATTGCTTAGCGCTGGTCCCCCTCTGTGCTGGAAGAGAAACAAGCGTGAGAGCCCGTGGGTACGGCGTCCCTGCCGAACTTCCCCGCGTCCGGGGGCAGCCAAGGGGTGTGCAGCTTCCAGAGAGGAGCCGTCACAGGGGTGTTTATACCTGGGGTTGGTTTTGGATCTCGGGTATGCAGGAGAACAGGGCTGGCCTCGGTAATACCCAGTGGCTACTGTTTGCTGGGCTGGCTGGGAGCTGCGACCCACCAAGTCCCGAGTCCTCCGAGGCGAGCCAGTATTGCACCTTCAGGAGAAGGTGTGAGAAGCAGGCGGATCTGGGAATAAAATACCCTCCTAAGCTCTGTTCTTAACCCTCAGCTGCACCTGTAGAGTACAGCAATGCTAAATTCATTCCCTTTTTCTGCTTGACAGGTGAATTTGGCGCTGAGCAGGAGGGTCTCGCCCCAGCCTGCTTGCTGCCGTGGTGGTGGGAATGGCCCTGTGCCCTTGGCCGTGCTCCTCATCATGGCAGGGACAGCGTGTGGGAGTTCAGCTTGAGATTGTTGTGGACCTTGAAGCCTCTTGGTGTCCAGGACTGAGATAGTGTTGAGCTCACACCCCTGAAATTCTGGACTTAGGGCTTCAGAATATTAGAAGATTGCTTAGAGGTCACGAGGCGTGCATTGCCCCTAGTCCCCAATGCGTTTTTAGCCTCTTATTTGAGCTTTGCAGTGTCAGATCTTTGTGTGCGTCTTCTCAGTCACCGAGTAATGGGATCGAGGTATTTGGCAAAGAGTAAGAACGTCTCTGGATGGTCTCAAAGAGGTCCGTAGGGGAATGCTGTGCGCTTGAAGGGCCCTGCAGGGCAGAGACCAGTGAGTTGCAGATAATTATAAAACCAGTTCATTCTGGAGTGGGGTAATGTCTGCTCTTGTGCTTTCCTCCTCGACTGTAACCAGTCCCAAATGCCTCCCTGCCACCCCCCCCCGCCCCCGGTGTCCCCCAAGCCCGTGTGCACGTGAGCATCCCGCCTCTGCCCCTTGCGTTCCCTTTGGAATGGCACTCCTGAAGTACGTACGTGCGTGCCTGTTTCGGAGAGGGGCTCGAGAGCCCCCTTATCTTTGCACCGCCACCTCCCTTGGCTGCCTCGGTGCTTGGCACGGCGTGCCGAAGGGCTCTTTGGGCGCTGAAGGCAGCTGGACGGTGCGGGTGGCTGGGCACTCGGGCTGCGCTGTAGGAGGGGAGATGCCGGCGGGGAGCGTGATACAGCCGGCGGGGAGCGTGTCGGGCCAGGGATGCCTGCGGTGGCCGTGTAATACCCATGCACTGCAGCAGCCACCCTTGCTCCAGGCTGAGACCTCGGGCAGCTCTGATGAGCTGTTCCTAGGACGCCAACGCGCCGGTTCGGCTCTGCGCCGTGTTGCCCTCGCAGCAGGAGGACTCCCCACCCATCGGGAGTGGATGGGGACGTGTCTCTGGTGTCCCATGTGCACTAAAGGTTAATTTTGCTTCTTCCCTCCTGTGCAGGTGTTTCTTTTGTGCCATCTTCTCCGCACCAAATTGCCCTGGAGAGAGGTTGGCTTGCAGTTGTGTGCAGATCGTGCCTTTTTTTGGGCAGGGGGCTGAGCCAGCAGTGAGGTCCAGGGGGACTGCTCTAGAACTGCTGGCAGTGGAAGAGGGGAGAGCGGAACCAATTCTTGTGGCCAGGACTTATTTTTCTTCCTGAAGGTTGGATGAGTAAAGGGAAATGGGCTCCTACTGCCAAATCCTCCCTGTATTTTAGCAAATCCAGTCTGCTAATGCAAAGGTTTCCTTTAGTCGCTTCTAGGAACATAAGTTGCCTTTGACATTTCTGCATGGCATGTTATCTGCTCTGCCTTTCATCTTCCCAAGGCACCAGTGCCTTGCCAGAGCCAGGAGACTCCCTTCTCTCATTCACCCAAGCCATCTGCCTCCTCCTGCCCCTGCTTTAAGGCACCGTTCGGAGCCTCCCTGGTGGATGGACCGTGCTCTCTCTTTAGCTGGGCACCCTTCCCCGGCTGGGGGATTCCAACCATTCAGTGTTCCCTTCAAAAGTTTGGGGTTTTTTTATTCTTTTTATTCAGAACTCTCCTTCTCCCTCGATATGTTTTTCCACTGAGATTTTGCTGCGTATCTCTGGGATAACTGCACCAGCTGGAGCCCGTCACCTTCAATGGTGAATTTTGGGAGTGGAGGGAGGGTTCTTCTGGCCAGGCTGGGGCTTGCATGCTGCCCTTGATAGGGCTTGGGTCACGTCCCTGACCCTCGGGGCTGTGTCTGCAGCGGTCAGGCTGCCAGCTCCTGTGCATGGAAATGACCCTGTGGCAGCTGAGGTGGATCTGTCCCGGTGTGGATCTCCTGCTATGCATTTATTTGAATTCTTTATTAGTAATGGGCAGGGACCAGGTCAGTTCTGATTATTTTTTTTTTTTTTTCTTAATAAATTATTTTCCTGGTTGAGGCTCTGCCAGCTTCCCCTGGCTAAATGCTACGTCCCTTGCTGGAGAGCAGCGTTCCCTGCCGTAGCCGGTTGTGTGGCAACTGAAATGGCTGTTGTGGGCATAGAGGTTAGAACGGTGAGGGAGGGAGAAGGTTGGTCAGCTCATCCTCTGTCTTAACTGGTGGGGGGCAGCAGGGGCAGAGCAGCATCAGTGGCTTCCCCTTCTGCTGGGGAAGCTCTTGAGCAGCCATCCTGGCTGGAGCTGAGCCGTGCTGCAGGGGCTGCCGGGCTCTGCTCACCCCTTTTCCCACCCCAGCTCTGCCTGGTGCCCCGTGGGAGCCCCCCCTGCCCTTGCCGGGCTCCCCTGCCCCATTTGGGACGCTGGTCCCTCGGTCTCTGGATAGCAGTGGTGCGGCTGGTGGCCCTCGGTTGTTTGCTGAGAAGTGGTGGCTCATCTGGAGCCATTGCTCTTGCCCAAACAAAGGAAAGGGGCATCGCTGTCCTCTGCCAGCCCTGCCATCCTCGGTGCCAGGGGCTTGCTGGGTGTCTGCATTGGGTTGGGGAAGGCAAGCCCTCCTCAGGGTTGGCAATGAGAGGAACGAGAGGGCTGTTTGGGGTTTGTGTGCCCCCGCGGGCAGAGAGGGGCTCTGGGGGGGAGAGTCAAGGTGGCTTGAGGTAGGGTTTGGTGTGGGGCAGCTCCTCATCAGGCTCTTTGGAGCCTCTAACATCAGTGACTGGGCTGGCACTGCACTTGGTAGCAGGCTCTGGGCCCAGCCGAAGGCGAGTGCTGGGTCTCTGCGCCGAGGGCAGCGTGTCCCAGTGCGAAGGGGGGGGGATGCGGGCTGGGGGACGAGGGGTCTCTGTCCCTTGCTGGAGAACTGCCTGCCTGAGGGGCCGCTTGCGATGTGAGGCTGTGTCCTCCTCTGCTCCCCACGAGGCTGCGCCAGGGCAGGATTAGGTTGGACACGGGGAAAAATTCCTTCCCCAAAAGGGCTGTCAGGCACTGGAAGGGGCTGGCCAGGGGAGGGGTGGAGGCCCCCCCCCCGGGGGGG